CATAAAAACACATCGAACATCATATGAATATTATTATAACAACCTAAAATATACCGTAGAGTATAACGTGAATATTCAAAGATAACCATGGAACATCCCATTTGTACTGTGGACATCACAAAATAAATCATAGAACATCACATATATACTACATGACATCACAACAAAACATTCGGAGAAACACAAATAATAAAAAATATAATAAAGGTATATAAAAAATAACATTACATAAATACTACTTGAACAACCTAAAATATATCGCAGAACATTTTTAAGTATTAGTGAATATTCAAAGATAATCATGAAACATTTCATTTTATACTACGTGAACATATGAAACACATCGTAGAACATCACATAGATACTAAGCGAACATCAAATGTATCTCATAGAATATATAGAATTAAAAACTAAAAATGCAATGGAGAGAAGAAAATAATATACTAATCACACTAATAAAATATAGATAAGAAGAAAAGGAAAATAAAAAGGATAAAGAAAATGAAAAAAATCCAAATAAAATAGGAAGGAAAAAGAAACAGAAGAAAGAAAAAAGAGATTAAAAGGTACCAGCATCTCATGGAATAAATAAATAAAAAGAAATAAAAAATTAAAAACAAAGAGAGGAAAATGAAACTAATAAAAAATAAAGTAAAAATAAAAAACCACAAAAGAAAAGAAAAAAGACTTAGCTGAAAATAATTAATTATTGTTCAAAGTCATTCTAGTTGATTTAAACAAGTTTTTAGATTACAGTCTCGAGATTGATGAATGACGAAATAACCATAGGTGTCTCGTTGTTGATGAGGAGGTCGCCTATCAGAAAAATCCTATAAAATTCGTTCATGGGAGTCGAACCTATGCTACTTAGACTCCTTTCGTGATTTTTGTTTTGGATCGACCTGATGGTCCAGGGTAATTAGAACTTCGGTCTTGCAAACTCACAGGCAAAACAACTGTCACGGCAACACGAGTATCATCAAGTCAAGGGCCAAGAAGTATGGGCCGTGGGCCTAGGATTGAGAAGTTGAAACCAGCCTAATGAAGGGCCTGTCTAGAGAATGGGCCAAGCTGAGATGCCTGAACGACGCCTTCCTCCAAACAAACTTGTAAGGCCCCCCTTTGCATCACAGGATAGGAAACATGTAGGGATAGGAAAAACATAGGAATTGATGTGCTAGGTTCCTCCAATCCTATAGGGTTCAAAAACACAGGAAAGTAAATAAGGAGCTCTTTGGCAGCACAAAAGTAAAAAACACAGGAATTCTGAACAGGTTTGAGAAGCTAGACTGTACACGTTTGAGAAGCTCTTTGGCTAGCCATTGCATTCGCAACAGAAAACTTGCCGTTACATGTGCTTATACATATATGCAGCAGCATACAAACACAGCATTCTCATTTGCATCCTGAAGAGACCAACAACTAGCTCATCCCCAGATCTGCTCAGCTCAGTCACAAAGCATTGCAACAAAACCTTCTTGACATACAACTAGCTCCTCCCCAAATCTGCTCAGTCATCGTCAGCATCATCAAGCATATGCAGTTGAGTAGTACCACGGCATCGTTTCCCAAATCAAAGATAGAACATACATTCTCATATTGGAAAAAAGGAAAGTGCATGGCTCAGATGGGAAAAAGGAAGTGTGCGGAAGATACAGAAGAAGCTTACATATAACTTGCAAGATGTGGATCCGTGATTGACGATGTGGATTCGGGAGGGTGCCGCGGAGCTGATGTCGCGTGGCCGGCGTTGAGGAGGCTCGCGTCGTCTCGCCGGTGGGTGGATGTCATGCGGTCGGCGGCTGGGCATCGCTTGGCTAGCGATGGGGGCGACCCGTCTCCCTCTGCGAGGACGGCAGCGACCCCCTCTCCCTCTGTTCTTGTTTTGGTTCTCCAAAATTACGCGAACAGACGCGGAAGAGCGCACGAGTGGTTTCGTTTCGCGCCAGGAAACTTTCCATAAAGTCCGAGCTCTTGTTTACTTTCCTGTGAAATAGAACCATAGGAATCCAATCTTGAATATTTCCTTTGTATTTCCTGTGAACCAAAGACAAGTGTAGGAAAAAATCCAAAGAAATCCAAATTCTATAAAATTCCTTTACCAATTCTACCGACCAAAGGGGCCCTAAAGATCGTACCCCCTACTCTGTGACGATCCAACAACATTTTTTTGACGCGAGGAATCTCCCCATTTCCATTGCAACAACGACGATCCAACAACATGACCTTCAGAAGTTCAGATTAGTATGTCACTTAGGCCCTGTTCGCTTCGCTGAAAAAACCAGCTGAAATATTGTTCTGGCTGATTTATTGTGAGAGAAAAATAAGAGAAGCGAACAGGGCCTCGGTCCTAAGAAGAACCTGCACGAAATGTAAGGATCCACTCGAAGCATGAAAAAACTAGAGGCCCTTCTGCTTGGAGCCACTCCATCATGGCATCACGCATCCATGCACGTTGGTAGATATCAGGAGCAAACTTACAAGCAAGGTAAAGGCAGCTCGATCAGCTCCAGGTCGGCGAAGGGAAAAGTTCACCTATTCTTTTTTTCTTTGCATGAAAAAAGAGTTCACCTATGAGCTGCAGAGGAAAGGAAACCCGTTGCTTACTGCAAATGCAAAGGGATCGATCGACCGGATCTCAACGCAAGGACACGGCAGGCGGCAGGCGCCTGCTCTGCTCATCGGATGATGATGATGACGTGACGATGGCGACCGACGATAAGGAGATATCACATGCATCCACGCATGGCCCTGGGCCCCGGACCCTCCGGTTGGTGGGGCGGGCGGAGAGCCGGAGACGGAGGAGGGTTCCGAGACGGAGAACCCCTGGTACGGTGATGGCCTGATGGGCAAACCCTACGTGCCCTACCAGATTTCAGGGAATCCAAGTAGCGCGGCAAAAGCGACAAGGCCCTAACCGTAGGCGAACGTGCGTGCTCGTGGGCCGCGGCCGATGACGCACGAGTTTTTCCACGCGATGGCGACGACGCTTCCATTCAAGCAAGTACCTGTTGTACCCTCCATGGATAAGTGGAGCCGACGAGCCGTGCTTTCGTAGGCGGGCGGGCCGGCACCGGTTGGTTGCAGTGCGCAGGAACCAGCAGCAGCACTGCTCACGGCTGAGCCGAGCATCAGCTGGCGACGTAGGGGCGGAGCGAGCCGCCGGCCGATCGAGCAGGGGAGGGGGCGGACGCAACGCGAACGAACAAGCCGCCCGCCGGCCGCGTGCGTGCGAGTGCGGTGGAAGTGTAATGTAACCGCAGCGGAAAGCAGGCGGCTCACATGCCCGATGCGGGAGCCTGGGGGCAACAACGCACACGCACTCGATCGCACGACGCGACGCACACGCACGAGACCCCAGCCTCGGGGGTGCCGGCGCCTGGCGGGCGACGCACGCGGGCAACTGGGCAAAGGCATCGGCAAAGCCAGCCGGCGGGCCGGCAGCCGAGCGAGTCACCGAGCGAGACGGTCGTTTTCTGCGGTCGTCGCGGGGGCAAAACGCGCGCGCGGTCAAAACTGGATAGGCCGCGGATTGCCCTTGGGCGATTCCGCGAAGTGGAGTGGGTGCGTGCGTTTCGGAAAGAGAAAGGAAGCAGCCGTTGTTGTGATATTGCCGTTCCGTGCAGCCGTGGTGACGGCCGAGAGCGACGCCCGCCGACCGCCCCGCGTTCGCACCGGATGCCAGAGCCCAGTGCCGGTGCGGTGCTTGCTCCGCTCCGTTATGCTCGCTGGCAAATAGCCGCCCCCGCCCCGCTGCCGCGTGCCCGCGCGTGCGCTCCCCTCGGCTGCCGCCGTCTCCTCCCACTCCCCCACCCGCACCGCACCCGGGCCGGGTCTCCGCAATAAAAATAGCAAGGCCACGACGCCAGTGCTCTCTCTCTCTCTCTCGTCTCGCTCTCGCCCGCTAGCTCCACCCCGCCTGCCTGCCCCAACCTTCCCCTCTCCTCTCTCCGCGCGGCGCCAGATCTGCGGCGGCCGCGCGTGCCGGCGACGCTGACGGTGGGTGGCGCTCCACTGCCCAGTCCCCGCGCTCGCGCGGTTCGAATTCGAATTCCGACCGCAGCTCACGCTCACGCCCCGTCCTTGTCTCTTGCGCGTGCAGTGAGGCGGATCCTGCCCGGCCGTGCCAGCCCGGTGATGAGAGCGTAGGCGGGCAGCGGACGACCGCACGCGCGCCCCCCCTGCCCCCTGCCCACAGCCCCCGAGGTACCTACCAGCTGCGCCTGCCTCTGTTGCCACGTTCGGTTCTCGGCCCGGCCGATCCGCCGCTTCTGCACGCTGCCAGAGCGCGCGGCGAGCGGCGGCGGAAGGGAGGGACGGGTGGCGATCGGAGCTTCCAATCTCCTTCATTTTCTTTCTTTCTTTCTTTCTTTCTTTCTTTATTATTATCGGTGGCGGTGCTCCATGCTCCGCCTCCGCGTCGGACGATCTTAGCTCGGGGAGTCGCGTCCGATTATGCCGGAGTCCAATCGAGGCTGCCATGGGAATTGGCGCTCCAGCCACGTTGGGAGTGGATAGGAGTGCGTCTGTCGTGGTCAAATGCATGCTCCCTCGCACATGCACCCAACACCCCCGAACAAAAACTGATTTGTTACACACAAGACAGACTCCATGGCCAAATGGATTAGGGGTGCCTCTGTTTTCGTTTTAAGTTGTTCTTGAGAGTTTCGGTGTTAGAATATGTTATCAAAGTGGGACGCCTAGGAAGTATGCTTTTCAAAAAGTCCAACGAGTCAAAAAAACACAGCAATATTTTTTTGTCCAAATTTCTTCGTTGCATCAATTGCAAAGATCATACTTCTTTCTTTTTGCGATGAGCAAAGTCACGCTACCAACAAAAATAAGAAATCTGCACTACTTCACTCGGTTAATCGGTTTGTAGGACTTGACTGGGCGTGCACTGTGTATAGTAGTATTAGGAAAGTTACTGGAACTTTGCCTTTTGGTTTCTTATAATTTTATCTCCCACTAAGTTATTGGCATGTGCTCCTTGGCAGAAAATGGCGATGATGGTGGATCCCCCCAATGGCATGGCGAGTCAAGGAAAGCATTACTATACTATGTGGCAGACACTATTTGAGATCGACACCAAGTATGTGCCAATCAAGCCCATCGGAAGAGGAGCTTACGGAATCGTTTGCTCATCTGTTAACCGTGAGACCAATGAAAAAGTCGCAATAAAAAAGATAAACAACGTCTTTGACAACCGTGTGGATGCGCTAAGGACGCTGAGGGAGCTGAAGCTTCTTCGGCACCTAAGGCACGAGAATGTTATCAGTCTCAAGGATATAATGATGCCAGCGCATAGAAGGAGCTTCAAGGATGTTTACTTGGTTTATGAGCTCATGGACACTGATCTGCATCAGATAATTAAGTCATCTCAACCACTTTCCAATGATCACTGCCAGTATTTCCTTTTTCAGGTAAGTTTTGCAAGGGTCCTGTTTTCAGATAGTTATGTCCTTACTCTTGTTGCTTTATTGATGACTCCAGCATAAACAGAAACACAACAATATTTTTCCACCTTGACATAGGATATTTGTCATAAAAGGTAGCCACTAAGTAACCCAATGCTTGCACTTGTTTGTCTGCGCCTTATGCTCTATCTTGATGCCATGCTTAGGAATTGCTGGCATATCCTATCGAAATATGAGATGCTTGTCCTTATGCAGATCAGAAAATAGGGTCGAGAATTTGCAGCCTTGTCATAAGCTATGCTAGTCATAAATGGTATACACGATCTGCCAGTGGTGTGCTGGATACTGTTTAATTTAATTATTCTGTTTGGCTAGTTTACCAGAAGTACATATGTGGTGGTGCAGTATTGGTTTCCTTAGTCTGATTCGGGTCTGCAACCATTTAATGGATCAAACATCTTTTTCATCGATGTACTTTGGCTGATATGAGAAGGACAGGCGCTTGACACAGTGGCAGAGTCTCTGCACTTGTGGCCTGGAGGTCCTGGGTTTGAACCAGCATTTTTGCAAAATTAAGCAAGGGTTAAGGTTGTCTACAAATTCAAATTCCCTTCTCCTGATCCCACCTTTGCTGGAGCTTTTAGCACTAGGTATGCTCTTATCAGTTATCACTTTGGCTGATACGAGGTTATTCTTGTTGAGTTCAACTCATTAGATTGGCATCTCAGGACAAACCAAATATGGGCATGGCCGCATGGGAATCTGTTCCATTCACCGTTTCTCTTTCTGGTTAAGGTGGGAATGAGTCATGTTGGCTTTTCAGCATGATGTTTTTATGGTCATTGGGAAGGTACCAAGATACCGAAATTGGTACCTCCCTAGTCCCTAGTCCCTAGTTATAATTGGTGGCATCTCTTGGTACTTCTTCAAGGAGGATTAAAAAGCTCTTTCACCTCAGTCAGTAGTCATTTGGCTGGTCAGCTTTCCTGGTTCAGACAAAGGCACAAGTGGGCCAATATCCATTTGAAAGCGCAGCTTTTAGAACTTTTGACTTTTGAGATATCATCACCTGTTGCCTTGTTAATACATCAGCCATGCTCTAATTTCATACTGTCTTCCAGAGTTCTATTATTTCTTAGTAGCTTGTCTTACTTATGTGTAAAACTACACAGAATTTATAATTCTAGACTAGTGGACTGACAATTGAGCATGCGGTTACATTTTTCTGAAATTCTGAAGTGAACTTCTATTTACATTTCCAGAACATTAACCATCTCAGAAGTTTGGCCCAAATTAGACATGGCAGCATTTGAAACTGCTGTCTTTTTTTCTTCTCAGATACGGAGAGCTGAGTATCATTTCATTAAACAGAAAAAAGAACCAAGTACAGCCCCACCACCACACCACACACACTAAAACAGCATTTGAAACTACTATCTGAAGCTGAGCTGTTGGAAAATGATACTATATGGTCCTAACAGGAGAGATCATATGAAAAAATGTAGGCAGTCTTCAAACTTGGACCACAAATCTTAGGGGAGTGGTTGAGAGAAGATATGATTTGTTAGCAACCCAGACAAGTTATTATTTGGGGACAAGAATAAACTTGGACCACATATCACCAGAGGCTAGGAAATAATATTATTTAGTTGGTCTTGATTGGGATGTGCTGGACAGGTTCTTGTTTTTCCTCTGAAGTAGCATGTTTGTTATTCGAAAAGACGAAAAGTGAACCTTAGCATGACAAGTGGAAGCTTCTATTACTGCTCCTAAATATTGATTTTTCTTAGGGATTCTTTTTACTGGAAACATCTCAGCATGCCAAATAGATTTGCATAGATGTGAATTATTTGAGGAGAACTTCTCTAGGTGAATTGTAACTTAGGCATCTGATGGTGGACCAAGAACTTAGTGTTCACTATGTTTCCAGATCCCTTTTTTTTGTTGCTGTTTGCCAGTCAGATAATATTTAAGCTGCCACTTTTCTCTTGATTGTAGCTGCTCCGAGGCCTGAAGTACCTTCATTCAGCTGGGATACTCCATAGAGACCTAAAGCCAGGGAACCTCCTGGTTAATGCAAATTGTGACCTGAAGATAGGTGATTTTGGGCTTGCCCGCACAAACAACACCAAAGGTCAGTTTATGACAGAATATGTTGTCACCCGCTGGTACAGGGCCCCTGAGCTGCTGCTGTGCTGTGACAACTACGGTACCTCCATAGATGTCTGGTCAGTTGGCTGCATATTTGCAGAGCTACTTGGCCGCAAGCCAATTTTTCCAGGAACTGAGTGCCTCAATCAACTTAAGCTCATTGTCAATGTTCTTGGCACCATGAGCGAGGCTGACCTTGAGTTCATTGACAACCCGAAAGCCCGCAAGTATATCAAGTCCCTTCCATACACCCCAGGCATTCCCCTCACCAGCATGTACCCACAAGCGCACCCTCTTGCCATCGACCTGTTGCAGAAGATGCTTGTCTTTGATCCCTCCAAAAGAATTAGCGTCACTGAGGCTTTGGAGCACCCGTACATGTCTCCGCTCTACGATCCGAGTGCAAACCCACCTGCTCAAGTGCCAATCGATCTTGACATAGATGAAAATCTCAGCGTAGATATGATCCGGGAAATGATGTGGCAGGAGATGATCCACTACCACCCCGAGGTCCTCACAAGAATGACCATGTGACAGGCAGCAATGAACATGTGGCAGAGGTCTGCTGCACCAGGATCATATCATGTTCGCCTTTTTTATGAGCTTACTGTGATTACGGCACGAGTCTAGTTATCACTATATGTATCGGACCGTCAGGTGATCTCTTGTGTAAATATGCGCTCAATAAGATGTGTGGCAATCTCTTGTTTTTGTAGTACATGGACTACGTTGTTGTATGAGTATGTGAAGTGGAACTCGGCACTTAAGACTTGTAATTTAGACCCTAATCTGTTGTATGGAAATCTCAAGGCCTTGATTCTATCTATTTGGTTTCTGAGATATGCGTAAGTGCAGTTTCCTGTTACATTTGTTTCCATTTACATTTTTTAGGACTGTAGAACTGCATTATGGATATGGATATTGTTTGCCCGTCTCCCATCAATTGGCACTTACAATGACATGTGCTGAAAATGGGTACTGCTGCAAAGTTAGTTTCAAGTTCTCAGATGCCATTACAAGACAGCTGATTGTACTGAAAAAATGAAGCTCAATGAAATTTGGAATCAGGTACATGCTGGCACTGCTAGTGCTTTCAGTAGAAACCTTGAAATAAAGCTCATAGCCTAGTGTCTCGTACTCAAGCGGAATTTCCATGGGAACGACGGAGGTGCAGGTGATACACATGATCAACTTTTATTGATGTACTGATGGTATGTATTGGCGGACTGAGCTGGATGATTGGACGCAGCAACCATCGTCTTCAATTCTGCTGGAGTTGTCTTAGAATGTGGATCCGTTGAAGCCAAAGTTGGATCTCTATAGCACAGATAAAGTTAAGTGTTAGGAATACAGAATTGATCCTTATTAAGACATGTAAATGTAATGGTGAGCACTGGATGCTGGATTTTGAGGCAGTGCAAGCAGCGTAAGGCAACTAAGCAGTGTAATGGCTGAAGCCACTAAACAGAAAAGCACACTAAAACTGCAGGAAACTAAGCTCAGAGAGCACTGGATGCTGGATCTTGACACAGCAACACAGGTCAGGCGAGCTGAAGCCTGAAGCACATGGTAAGGTTGTGGGTAGGAGTACCTGCACGTCATCGAATTTGATGTAGAATCTGGACCTGCTGACGGAGAGCTTGGTCTCGAGGACCTCAGCGACGGCAGCGCTCAGCTTCCCGTTGACGCCGGGGCCGATGCCGCCGATGGACACGAGCTCGCCGTACGCCGCCGGCTCTTCGCTGGCCGCGAACGACATGGGCACCGACCCGTTGATCGACACCATGACATACTGCAGCGCAGCACGGCGGGGGGAAATGTTTCACTCATCAGGACACTGAACCAACCAAACTGCCCAAGGCGCTCCAGTCCAGCGACCAGGAGCCTGCATTAATAAAGAGAAGGAACGGGCGACCGAGGCATTGCGCCGAACGGGTGGGGTGCGTGACGTACGGATTCGGGCTTGCCGATGATCCTGGCGACGGCCTTGGAGCAGTCCTTGAGGATGTCGGCGGCGACCACCGCGTCCACCGGCACGTTTGTGCTCAGGTTCAGCGTCGGCATCCTGGTGGCGCTGCGGTTGGTCGGCCTCGCTTCCGCTGCGCTGCTGCGGTGGCTCGCTCGTGGCGTGGATAGGGGAAAGGGCGAGCGGGTGGAGGAGGCTGGCAAGTACAGTAGCAAGAGAAGAGGGAGAGCCCGCGCCGCGCGTACGGACAGACGGGCTCAGAGGCCAGACGATGGGGCGGAGCCCCATAGGATCCGGGGTTGCCGGGCGCTGCTCGGCCTTTCAGCCTGAGAATGGAGCTCGATGACGCCACATCAGCCCATAACTCCAAGGCCACAACTCATCATGCAGCCCAAATCATGGAAGCACCATCAGTACCATACCAGGCTCCCTAAAAAAAAAAAAAAGAGTACCATATCAGGCACAAAAGAGAAGGAACAGGCACAGATTATATGCGCCATTACGTTCTATCTAAGTACCAGTCATTAAGATGATGAACAGAACTTGACCATAATCCCGTGCAGAACTACTCAGCAAAAGAGCATCGACAGGCAGCGTTTGACGTGAAGGGAAGACCCAGAATTCAGAACAGTGTCTTCCATTCCATACGTTGTCTGAAGTCTGAACTACACATCGACTTGTCCATAAAGAATCCATAAAGAAACCTTTTGTTCAAAAGGTAGGAGCAAAGTAGAAAAGGACACATGCACACCAAAAAGTTGCATCAGTATGTTCAAAAGATCCACACTAACATAAAAGGAATGAAACAAAAATGACAGTGTACTAGTATTTTTTACAACTTAGTGAACTTACAAATACATAAGTCAATGTTTTTGATGTTGAATTGGGTTTGGAGGGTGAAGGCAACTATACAACAGGGCGTGGTAGTATGTTACATGCATGGTTTTACCTTGCCATTCTGTATCCGAAAAATCCATACATTCCAATGCCTGCAAAATGATGAGAGCTGCTAGGCGGATCCTTGAATTGAGAGAAACTGGAAAAGCTATTCTCTATCCTGATGGGTTCCACCCCTTTTGAAGGGCGAGGACCCAGAGTAGTTAGATCTACTACAGAACCATAAGCCTTACATGCCTCCAGTACAGTGTCATATGACTTTGCAGGAAGTTGAAGACCTTGGCTGCAGGCCTTCTTGTACATCGCATAAGCAAGTCTTGGTTTGCCATCTTGCACAAGGGCTTCAATCAACATCTGGTATGTAATTTCATTCGGCTCAATGCCCTTCATTTTCATCCTGTGAAACCACTCAAAGGCATTTCCACCCATATTGTTCCTCACGCAAGCGCTGATTATTGCATTGAATGTGACAACAGTCGGCTTGATCTGTTTCGATAGCATGTCATGAAGAACAGCATCCACCATAGCATGGTTGCCCTTGCCGATGTAAATCGACACCAAGATCGTATACGCGTAGAGGTTCGGTTTGATGCCAACCTTGCACATGTGTTCCCAGACCCTCAATGCCTCATCATACAGCTTGCCTTTCTCAAGTGCACTCAGCAATGCTCCATAGGAAACCACATCTGGCTTCAGCCCTTCATCTACCATCTTCTTGAAGATATCCACTGCCGCCGATGCTTTGGATGCCCTTGAACACGCGAGGAGGACAGCGTTCCACTCCTTGCTTCCGGGCTTCAATCCCTTCTCCTGCATCTTGTTGAGCAGCCTAACACCCCACCTCCAAATTCCCCTTCTCTTGGCAGCATCCAGCAGAATGTTGAAGTGTGACATGATCAGCTCATGAGACAGATTGTTCGGCTTGGGACCTTTGTCCAGCAAATCCTCATAGATCTCGAGAGCCGCCCACCATTTCTTCGCCTTGCCCATCAGCCAAATCAGATGGTTGCAGACGGACAGGCTGATCTCGCCCCCATCACCAATCTCACGAATCCTCTGGTACAGCTCCTTGCCAATGGCGTAATGCTCCTCCCCCGTGCACGCCCAGACGAGCCGCTCGTAGTCGCTCCTCTCCGGCCGGACACCGGCTTCGTCCATGGCGAGGAGGACCTTCAGCACCTCGCCAACCGGATTCTTCCCCCCGACAAGTGACCGCCGCATCGACATGTAGCACGCCCGGACAGTCAGCTTCTCGAACTTGACGAACTCCTGCTCCCAGTCACCACGGCTCCCCATCACCAGCTCCCCGTTCCCGTACCTGCCCCTGAGCATGGCGAAGAACTCGATGGCCGCGAACGCGTCCCCCGCCTTCTTGTAGGCGGACACCACCGTGGAGTAGGTCGCGGCGGTCGGCACGAGCCCGCGCTCCTGGACGTCGGCGTACACCCTGAGGACGTCCTCGACCCTGCCCTGCTGCACGTAGATCGACATCAGCGTGTTGAAGGTGACGATGTTCGGGGACACCCCTGCGCCTCCATGTCGTCGAGGACGGCCTGGATCCGGCCGAACTCGCCGCAGCTCTTGACGGCGCCGAGGAGGCAGTTGTACACGAACTGGTTCAGCACGGCCCCTCTCGCTTGAGGTGCTCGACGACGGCGAACGCGGCGTCCGGGCGGTTGTCCTTCCCGAGCCCACGGATGACGCATGTGTACACCTGGAGGGGCAGGAGCCGGGCCTCGCCGCCGCCGCCGCCGTCGTTGTCGTGGTTCAAGAAGGCATTTACCGAGGACTCCACGTCGTCGGCCGTTCTGGCGTCGCGCAGCGCCGCGGCGACCGCGGCGACGTCAATGCCCACTCCTCGCCTCGCCCTGCCGCCGCCGGCGGACGTGCCAGCCCCGCCGGTCGCGAACTGCGAGGTTCTAGAACGGGACGCGTCACAACACTCCGAAGTAAAAGTAAAGTAAAGGCTGTTTTTTTTAGTGGAGCACGCGCGTACAAAATCCGAACGTGCGTACCTCGGCGGCGACCCAGCGGGAGCGGCGGCGGAGCGGCAGGCGGAGGAGGGAGGAGGCGCGCGCGAGGGCGGCAGTCCTCTGACGTCGAGGGTGTGGGAGATGGCTGGCGGCAGCGGAGTGGAGGGCGGCCAGGGAGGGAGCCATGGCGGCGAGGCCGGGGCGCGAGCGTCCAGGCGCTGGTGGCCTCTGAAAATGAAAGAGACGAAGGCTATCTGTTTGTGGCGTTGATTGCTGAGGAGCTGCCACGGCCCACGAGCGAGACCAGCAGCTTGTGGCTGCCGGCATCCCTGCCTCCGTGGCTCCCTGGCACTCTTGTCTGCTTAAACACTTGAACGTGAGCATTCCAGAGCGAAAAAACCGTACGTATAAGCGCCCGTGGAGTCTATCTCAGCGGCAGTGGTTCTCTCGAGATCTGTGCCGGTCCCGCATCTGCACGACACTTTTGGTTTGTTTATTCAGCTGGGCCCGACGTTGGTCAACTCTACCAGGCCTCACGTGTAAGCCTGGCATTCGGTTCTCGGTTTTGGTCCGGTTTCTGGCTTTTAAAGAAATTCGGTTTTTAGAAAATAGAAACCGATCAGTTCTAAATTTTTTTGAAACCAACCATTTTAGTTTTTGATTATTTCAGTTCGGTTTTGTTCTAACCGAATTAACCAAATTTTTGAGAAAACATCAAGACAACAATAAATATACGTGTTGTAAGACAAATTTATGCAACACTATATTATTTTTTAATAATAATAATAATAATTTATAAAAAAACAATAGCAATATAGTAACATAAATATATAGCAGATCAAATATAAAACACCACACATAAACCAAACATAATCTTACAAAATACAAGTAATTGAAGTATAATTCATGTAATTATGATTTTTTCGGTTAATTTGGTTACCCGAGAGTAGGAAGTAAATTTTCTTCGGTTATTTCAATATATCAGGAACCAAATAAGAATTTTTGGTTCCAGTTTTTTTGGTTTTTATTCCGATTATTTTGGTCTGGTTTTCGGTTCTCGGTTAATTTTAGCCGAGGCTGCTCACGTGAATCTGAAAATGCCTGGATGCCTCCGTTGTGCCTAATGTCCCAGGCATTTTTTTTGTCTGCTTCATGTCTTCGCCTGCGCGGATTTGAAACGCACACGAGCTCGTTTCAACACTTCTGCTCCAAATCCGATCCTCAAGCCAAAGGTTATTTGTTCAAAAGCTTCTGATGTTTGCATTAGAGACAGGCATCATGTCCCCTAAGTTTGTTTGCATGATGATCTAAATTATTTAATTGCTCGTATGATTGAAGGTCTAGTTTTCTTTAACTTTACTGAAAATGCACATTATTGAATTATTGCTTATTTTACTGAAATGTAAACTGAAGCTGTGATCATGGTGCCTTCTGGTTGGTTACATACTTACATGTATCGTGTATGTGTCACTGATATATACTTGAGATGAAAAATACCACTATATATCCTAAATCTTGAAACTAAAAATAGTAACGGCATCGCAATCCAAAACGAAGCCTGATTACTTTAGCTATCATCAGAAAGCAGACGATGAAAAAGATTATACAAAAGTAAAAGCTGATTGGTGCTAGTACGGATGCAGCTAGCTAGCAAGCATATCCAACGCACTCAGGTGTGGAGTCCCTGTTACAAACGCGATTTAATTCAGACACGTCCAGGCAGGCTAAGGTTTTAGTTGTACTCTAGTTACATCAACATCATTTCACATGTGATCGGGTGGATTAGGGGTGAGAAATTCATTGAGTTTTCTTTCACCCTAATTCACCTTAATGCATGTACCAAATTGAAATGGATACATGTGTACCTAAATAAGGTTTAATTGAGATCGCTTGTGCATTTACTCTAATATTGAGCAACCCTTAAATTTGCATGTAATAAATTATCCAATTATGTCTTTTATACAAAAATAATTTAAGTAACCCCTAAAATTTGCATCCAAATTAGTCACATATACTATTATTAAAAACAATTTGAATATCCTCTCAAATCTACATTTAAATTATCAGCATATACTATCTCAAAAAAACCATGAAATATGCCTAATTATGTTTCAAAGGACATGCTTGGATTAGCTAGATAATCATTAGCAGGGGCACTAATAAGTTACTAACATGTAGTTGGCATCTATTAGTACCTATTAGCGCCTATTAGCAGTTCTAAATGTACTAAATGGAACTAATAGTTAGTAGCCACTAGCTAATAGTTAGTTGGTCTATTAGCATGTTTGGATCCATTAAAAATAATTTAATTTGTACTTCCTCCGGTCCATTTTATCTGGCGCAAGTTAGAATGACATGGTCTCCTAGATTATACTTTGACCATTTATTTGCTTTATATTATATTATTTATGCTTATAAACTTATAATCATTGGATAGCTTTACAAATCTAATCATATAAAATTTGTATTATAATAGTTAAAATTTATCAGCCTAATTATTGATCAAAGTTTTTAAAGTTTGAATCTTAATATACATGTGTGCCAGATAAAATGGACCGGAGGTAGTAACCAGTAGCGCTAGTGGATCTAAACAGATCATAAAATACAAAGTCCTATATAAAAACTAACTCAAAGTAAGTACATGCGTCGAGTACCAACATGCAAACCTAAGGACAAATGAACGAGCAATACATATATATTTCTATAGGTTAGGATCCATGATAAACATACTCTTAATCAATCACGTACCAACGTACCAATCGCGTAAAAATCAGGTAAATTATTACTTAAAAAAAACCGAATGGAAGTCCCAACAGTGCTGATAGCAAGAGCAACTCATCAGTGCGTGTAGTAGAGACAGGCGCGGTGAAGCACCCCTCCCATCTTGTTTTACTCTTTTTCACTATGGTGTTTTTCCCTTTACAACCCCCACCCCGACCCATCTTACTTGTCATATGTTTTCTGTTGTCATCTATTTATACTTTATACATAGTATTTTGATTCACTATACTTCCACTGTTTCTAAAACAATATTTAAGACAAGCTAATTATATTGTTTTTGAACTAATGATCTTGTCATATATATTTAAAGCAGATGAAGTATTTATACACCCATATTTTAAAACATCACATCAATACCATCTATGAGCTCATTATACTCCCTCTGTCCCAAAATACATGACAGTTTTTTTTTACTTTTAGACATCTTGTTTGACCATTCGTTTTATTCAATTTTTTTGTATAAATATTAATTATATTATTATGACTTATTTTATCATTAGAGATACTTTTATTTTATTATTTGAAAAAATAAATAAGACAAATGATGATATCTAAAAGTCAAAAGCGTCATCTAATTTGGGATGGAGGGAGTAATTGTTTTGGTAGCCGTACTGCTGCAGCCCCTGTCCTACCATAAAAAATTTCCTGCTCCATGTACTCCCTCCGTCCCAACATAAGTAGTTATCTCGTATTTCGAGAAGTCAAAACATCTTAAGTTTGACTAAATATATATTAAAAATACCAATGTTTATAATAAACATAATTATATTAATCATATCATATACTTTCATAGTGAACCAATTTAGAGATGCAAATGATGATATTATTTTCTATAAATCTAGTCAAATTTGAGATTAGTTGACTTCTTAAAGCGCAAGATGTGCAATTATTTTGGGACAGAGAGAGTACCCGTGGCCGCTGAACAACCAGCAAAAATTTCAATGCATGCATAAAAAAGTTATAAATCTTAAACATAAATCTTATGTCATAAATCTATATAATTTTTTTTGAAACCAATGATAAAAAATATAAATATTTGGCTTAGAACAAAGCTAATATAGCATGTAAACATAAATCTTTATCTTTATTTATTTATATATCTCCTTGTTTTCTGTGCACTATGCCTTTTCGCTATTTCTTAATTCCCTGTCCAAACCTAAAACATCAAATATTTTTGGACGAGCAGAGTATCTAGAGTCATGGTCGTGTATGAAAAGTATGGATCTATTTTACAAGCTGTTTGGTTGTAACAATGAAAGCGCAAACGTAAATGAAAATGAACTGCAGATGTTACCGGCGGTAACAGATTTGAACTAGCTGACCTTTACGTTTGCGTTACTGTTCTCCTTACATGCACCTGCGATGAACTAAATGTCACGTACTAGTTCCTTGCGTTAGTGTTTGTGTGAAAAGTGTGGACTACTCTTCGGAAAGCAAAATTCAAGTATATCACGACCAACTGATGATAATTAATTCGTGGCAACCCATTATAGAAGGAATTCAAAGGTTTTAGAAAATAAAATGATTGTTTCCCTTGATGTGAGCCTCAGTCTACATGCTCACCTGGTGCAACAATTCGTGCAAAATTTTAGTTGATGGCTAGGGCTGCCCAAAAAATTACAGCCTCCACAACAGACCAAACTAAAGAAATTCAATCAAAGATTTTATAGCATATTCTTAAACTTTTGAGGTATTTGTCAATGTTTGCTTTGAGCATCAAGAGGCGGTGCTACAGTGTCGACTTTGTTCCAGCAAGCCCATAGTACACAAAAACAATTAATTGTTATTACGACTTGAATAGAGGAATAGTTTTTTTTTTACAACAAATAGAGGAATAAGGTTGGGTGAGTCTGGGTGACCTGTGTTCGAGGGGAGATTGGGCAAGATCACTCACTAGTTGCACTGATGGGCTATATTATATAGATAAAAGGTACAAATTAAAGTAGCGGTCTGACATCGTGGACAAATACTATACTCCTTCCATTCTAAATTATAATTCATTTAATTTTGTTTTACATCCGCTCGTCTTATTAAAAAAAATATAAACATAGTCAAATTTAAATCATTCTTGAAGAACTTTTATTAATAAAGCAAGCCACAACAAAAAAAAGTAATATTTAGCATAAATTTTTGAATAAAACAAGTTGTCAAACTTGAGATAAAAAAAAGTCAAACCAACTATAATTTAAAACGGATTTAGTATATATTATATATATATATATATATATGAAAGGTACAGTACTGTGTATGGCCTAGTAAAAGGGATTAGTTTTATGGCATCGTGTTCCACTGTTTCTCCGTGGCTCACTTGTACTGAGTACCATTTCCCCATGACCGGCTTGTACTTATAGCTATATGGCATCGTGTTCCACCATTTTCCCTCTGGTTGACTTGACACAATGCAG